CGCATTTTTATCGATTTTTATTGACAAAAAGGGCGGACTTCTCTGCGGGATTTTAGGGTAGTAATGAAAATTATAACATTTATGGAAAACAGCTCAAATGAAGAGCAACCAGTGTCAACATCGTATCGCTACTTACAACTTCGTATCTATTTGGTTACTTGTACTCACATTTGGTGGCAATGATGCTGGCTGAGCAGGAGAACTAGTCGAAACGAAACGCTGTTCATTTTCCTTGCATGATCTAGCAGTCCCACTAGAACAACGGAATCAACACTAAAAATTACCACTCGTGAAAAGCGCTTACTTCGACAAAAGATGAAAAAACTTGTGGAGTCCTGCACAACGAGGTTTGTCACGAGAACTATCTCGGATAGCCACTTGATCTCCTGATAACATGATGAACTCCAAGTGGATATGCCCATATGTTAAGCGCAAGGTAACCTCATTGATAGGCATGAGATGGAACTAAGTAGAAAATAAAGTGAACGCATAGTCATTCATACACAACAAAAATCTTACCTTCAAAATGAGCGGATACGGTATCTCGACGTTAAACAACTGAGCCAGCACTTTACATGATTGAAATCGTATCCTACTGAAGAATGCCAACGAGTGTAGAGGTTCACTTGTGGTCACCAAATAATGCACGAGCTCAGTCAAGTCGGACTTCGCGTTAAACCTAGAATGGAAGGTGATTAAGAGTCAAAATAAACTGGAACTTCTCACTTTTCCTTCAAAATGGTTGCCATCATACAATGCGCGTTCCATCGCGTTGTTTCTTGCAAATTCACCTCAGGAGAGTCATAAATCGAGATAGGAAGAGTCTAAAAATGCTGCTACCATTCGATAAACACCTGAAGACGGAATAAGTTGACAGACCTGTCCAAAGTTCAGATTGAAGCGATCATTTGTGGTGTTGCGAGGTCGGAAAGACACAATTAGCTGCTGGTCACGCTCACGACCGTATGCAATCACTAGTTTATGGAAGGTGTATGCTTGCACCTG